TGGCGTAAGCTTCAAGAATGTAATTTTTAATAAATAAAGTAAACACACAAAACGTCAGTAATAAAAAGATTTAAAAAAAATTAAAGCCTTCTTAGTAAGAAAACTGAGCATTGATATGATGAATTGAAAAAAAAAAAAGAGAGACTATAAAAAGCAGAAAAATGTATGCTAACACTTAATGTTGCATCTGGAATTCAAACGTATACTGCTCTGCTGATTTTAAAATTTTTGTAAATATTTTTGTTGAATTGTGTATGGCATAAGTGCGTAGAAAATGATACTTAGTAAAAAAGCTAAAAAGACAAAAAAAAAAAAAAAAAAAAGGTTTAGTAGGAGTGAGCGGAACAGTAGACTGGTAGACTGCTAGCTCAGCAAGAACATAAAAACACCTTAACAAATCCTTTTGAGCGACTGCTAAAATCTAAAACCTTTCTAATTTTCATTTTATTATTTTACTTACTGTAACGTGTTTCTAGGCTTGGGTTTGGGAATTAATAATGAATATTATGCAGTATCTTTAGCGGAAAAAGAAAAAAGAAAAGCTGATTCCAAGTGGTCGATTTGAGAAAATTTTGAAAAAGGGAAAATGTGCAAAGCTTTCATTTAGCATATCATACTAACAAAGCAGTAGCATAAGCCTTTTCAATGATAGTCTCGCTTTAGAAATAAACTTAGACAATCTCTTCTTCATCTGTTTTTACTTATGTTTTTCACTTCTAACAGATATTGTAAAACTAAATTTATGTACCTGTCTATTTGATCTGTTTTAATATTGGGGTTAACTTTTTTGTGCTAGATTTAAGGATTTCCGTTGATTTTGTGTTATGAACTTGCATACAGAGTACTATAGATAAGTTTAAATAAGCAGTTATCTGTGGCCAAGAAAGAACTACCGTATATACCCGCGTATAAGTCCAGATATTTCGGACAAAAAAAAAAAAAAAGACTTCAAAGTAGGGGGGTCGACTTATATGCGGGGCCATAAAAAATTAAAAGAATCGGAAGTTCAAAAATTTCTTTATATAATGCAGTGTTTTCTTCCCGCACTCAATTGGCGACTTATCAAAAGTCACTTACTTGAAGTATTTCATGAATTAATTATGTGACGAACTAATCAGAGTTTATACTTTAACTAGAATAAGTTTCGATTAAACCAAAGAATTTTCGGCCTCCGAACACCGATCAATATCGGCAATAAAAAAAGTTTCGCCAACACGCCAATAAAAGAGAAATGCAGATAGTTTTTACGTACGATAAGTCTTTATAATAGTTATGTTATTCATAAAATACTTTTCTTAACAGGCGTACATGTCAAAATTTAAAAAATAGCCCACGCAATAACTAACTGAACAGTTTGAATATTTCTTTTAACTTTAAAAAGGGAAAATGCAGATAGATTTTACGTACGCGAATCTTTTCCGGACAAATTCTAGAAGGTTACTATATACGATCATTTTTCCGTGAACACTTTTTGAAGAAGTGACAAAACACCTAAAAAACGACTGTGGCCCGTAATTCCGGAGGATTGACAATCCGTCATTAACCCCTAGATGGCTGCCTCAATAAGCCTTCAAAGTGAATGTTAGAAAATATTGGGCAGAGTGGATTAGTTCCGGTCGACCAACATTTACAAAGGGAGGCACATTGAAAAGCCCGATATTACATTAATTGCTCAGTGGGTTAAAGATGCTTGGAAACGAAATACCCTCTGAAATGATTATAAAATCATTTAAAAGATGTTGTATTAGCACGAACTAGACGGCATGGAAGAGGATGCTATTTTTGAAGTGAAAATGACGACGAAGGCTCTAGTAGTGATTGTAACAATACAGAGTTCGAGACTGAAATATGTATGACGAGCCAATGACGACAGAAGAGTTCTATGAAATGTTGGCGAATCTGACCATGAATCGGATGTTGAAGGATTTTGATTTTGTTTATTTACCAAGGTATTTTTTATCGTATATTTACTTTTTTTCCTCAGATGATTTTGAATAAATGTAGTACTTAAAAAAATTTTTTCGAAGTTTCTCGATCGATTTCGGAAGTGGGGGATCGACTTATACGCCGGTTTCTTATTTTCTACGAATTTTTTATGTCGAAGTGGGAGGGTCGACTTATACGCGGTATCGACTTATACGCGGGTATATACGGTAATTTATTTAACAAGAATTTAGATGGAGAAAATAGTGTCGATTAATGATTTTTCAGATCACAAATGGTTTTGGGGAGCGAATTATGTTCGTGAACCGAGATTCCACTTCATTAAAAAATTCCCTCATTTCTTATAAAATAAAAAATTTCCTCCGTTTCTTATATGATCTCATATTCAAAATTGTGACTAATTATAAACCTCCTTTGGAATTTCGTTCTGTACTAGAGATAGATCCAGATGTTATGATTTCGCTTATTAATCTAGATCAGGGTTTCTTAAACTGTGGGTGGCGACTCCAAGGAATTCGCCAAAAATTTTAGCAGTTTTGAAATTTCTTTAACTTATATTAATTTTACAATTACCAAATATTTTTACATAATGTATCGGAAAATAGAAAAAGATAAGACGATACAGACAAAGAAAAAAAAAAGTTTCGGCACATTTTTTTTTTTAATAATATAAACGTTCATTTTCCTTGCTTTGTATGTGACACTTTTATTTCGTCTGTTACTTATTTAAAATGTTCACATTGTTCTATGAATATTAATGACCTAAAACTGCAATAGTATATTACAGTACAAGTGAAAAAACTGACAGTTTCACTCACGCGTGTGTCGGATTTGTACAATGGGGTCCTACAAAATACTCAAGGGATACTTATGGAGTCCCACAAAATTTGTGTAATGGGTAAATTTTGTTATGGGGTCTTGGAGGTCACAAAAATATCTCAGTGATAAAAAGGGGTCGCGACTGAAAAAAGTTTAAGAAAGCCTGATCTAGATAATATTATACAATGCTTATGGTTTTATACTGCTACATTGTCCTGGTAAAAAAATATTAAAATATTTGTGTGTTAAATAGATTAGCGAGATTTTAGCCAGCCTTGAAACTTCTTCTCCTTGTTACAGCTCTCTTCCTAGAAAATCCTGAAGGTCCTCCAGTATATGCTGATGAAATAACTGAATCAACTTTGCTGAAATCTATATTATCTTGTATGCTGAACCAGGTATTAAGGTAATCACATGAAAATAATAATACTTTATCAGAACTTATATTATACAAAGCATTTATCTGTACACAAAATTTATCTATTATGGGAACGAGAGTCATTATTCTGTCTCCTTTTCAGCCTGTTTTAAATGAATTGTATTTAGTTCATCCAGAGATCGAAGATATGAAAATACTTTCACATTCTTTCATACGGTAGTTAAACATTGAGAGTGACATTACAGATGCAGTCAAAGGATGCAATATTTGCGAAGAAATTAGACATAATCCCTCTAAAGTCTCCATTCGTTTTTGGGAAGTAAAAATAATAAGCTCTCCAAGATCTCGTTTACCTTCTAGTTTATAAAAATGCATTCGATAGCGGTCAAAATGGATATTTTCGTTGAAATATGCTGCCTGAAACTTTTCGAGATTACAGTAATTCCTTTTTACTTCGTACAAGGAAGTAAAAAGACTTAGTAGGAATAAGCGTAAAGGAAGTAAGCAGGAAAAAAAAAGCAGGAAAATGTATGCTAACACTTAACGCTGCATCTGGAATTCTAACGTATACTGCTCTGCTGATTTAAAAATTTTTGTAAATACTTTTGTTGAATTGTGTATGGCATAAGTGCGTAGAAAATGATACTTAATAAAAAAGCTAAAAAGACAAAAAAAAAAAAAAAAAAAGGCTTAGATTTTCCTAGACTATTTTGCAATAACATTTTTTTATTGTTGTTGATTCTTTCTTTAAGTAGCTCAGATATTCAGAGAGATTTCTCACTGATAATCCTCTGCTTTGAAAAGAAAAAATCAAATATTTAATAATGATTTTGAAATATGGCATTTGAACCTATAAACATGTGTGGATACTGAAGAAGTGATGAATATATAAGAATATCATAATTTTCAGTAAGTTTTCTTATTGAACAATAAATTCTGACAGACTAGGGTCTAAGTTTACATAAAAATTTCTTTTTTAAGTAAAAGAATTTGAGTAATTTCTGTAGCTTTTTTGTCAATACATTAAAGATTTTTTAACTAATTACACGTCGAACATTATCATGTATATAGATTGAACTCGTCTTTGTAATTGATAATTATTACTCGCAAATTATTCTCTTGCTGGTGAACTATTAACAACCTTTTCTATTGCTGAGTTAGAGTTATCAACCTTCGCTCTGGCCCGAACGTAGCTCTGGTCTGGCACGAACTAACTTCGCTCTGGCTCTGGTCTGGCACGAACGTAGGTGGTGTGAATAGCCTTTTGGCTATTCGCACCGTCGGTGCGATTAGCCACTGCGCATTCATTCGCCGCCGTTACGCGGACCTGACTATCTCTTTCCCCTTCCACTACACTATTCTTCTTTCTTTTTCTTCCAGATTGTTATCAGAAGCTGAGTAAAATGATATTTCTACATCTTGACATTCGAGAGATCTGTGTGTGTGAACTAGTATTTGCATTCTTTAACGAAGTATAGAATTCATTGAAGAGCACCAAATTATGTTAAAATATATTTTTATCTGTTCTTCAAGAGATTTTAGAAGAGAATCAAGGTCAGTAAAGTCAAAGAGGTTAGAAACGTGTCATGCGATGTCGTTGCTTTCAAGAGGCCTTTCGAAGTATGGTAATTTTTGTTTTTATTTAGAAAGTGTTAAAAATGAATGTTTTACTTGTCTTTAATTTAAATATGAATTTATAAATAAAAATCTACAAAATGCCTGACTTTTTTTTTTAACTATTCAGAAATAATAATATAATCGTATCCACTGCAATCAAGCCATACTCAAACGGTAAACAAGATTAGAAGAAGATGCACTCGCATTGAATTCCGTTTTCTTTTTTTTAGATATGTCAATTTTAAATATGGCGCTTTTTTTGTACTTCAATAAATATGAGATCTTTAATTTGTAATCATATTTGATCTATGGATGTACGCATTTATTATTTCTTCGCACAGTATTTGAAATCATTTTCCGAGCTTAAATTGTGATAAGCATGCTTGCCGCGCAGTCTTTTCTTTTCTTGAATCAGTCCTGCAGCGCCAGGTCAATGTGTTGATAAACATTTCACGATGCAACCATGTGAACAGATAATGGTTTGGTCCTGGGAATAAAACGTGCGCGAACGTTCTCTAGGTAACCAAAACGAGTGAGTTAAATGTTACAACGAATATCGAAACGTAAATTTACTTAGCAATCTACATTTAAATATTTAATATGTCGAAGTTTTTGGCACCTTTTGAACTTACTCTTGCTATTATCAAACCCGATGTCTGCAGAAATCCGTGCAGTCTGCAAGTAAGATTTCAGTTATTTTTTATTTACTTTAATTATATTTTGAAAGTATAACAATTAATATTTCTTACAATGAAAATATTCTAATTAAATTGAAACTATTTTCGTAGTTTAATTTCATTCAGCATTCGATGTAATATGTAATGATTAGTAAACAATACAACGATAGACTTTACCAATAAATAACAAACTTAATATTTAGGTATATTTAACATGTCCGATTAGTTAACCTCTTTTGCTTCATATTGTCAATTATTTCTTTATTCAATAATATATAATCCTTCCTTTAAACAGTGCTTAATGTATTATGCAGTGCAAGGCATTTGATTTTAGGCTCTAAATGTTTGAGAGTGTTTTAGTTAGCTAAGTTTAACTATGGCATCGAATAGAATTTGAATCGACTATAATAGTGATTAGGGTAGATTATTTTGTTTTATTACTCTCATTCATAGTCATAGATATAAAACTGAATGTTTGAAATTAGTGTTTCAAACACTTTTTCCTCTCCAGTTTTATGTTTGTTAATCAAATATACGCTGCAATTTAGCTACTATGCTTGTTGTATTTGAAACCTTTTTATAGGATTTCATTAATGTCTAATTGGATTATATTTTTAATTTAAAATATCCGTTCGAAAATTATGCTCATATGTGTAGTGTAGTATGTAAAAAATGTGGTAAGGTAATTTGTTGTGTTATTCTGTAACTTTTACATTAAAAGCAAGCATACTTAACATTGTGGTATTTAATTTTCTTTTAAAATATATTTAACGTATGAAGTTCTTGTATGTTAAGCCATCTTATATGCAAGCTCATTTTTTCTAGTAAAATGCTGAAAACTAACTACATGTTTATTTTGTACATGTATATATGTAAGTTAGTATTTTATAGTACAAACTTACTACATGTTTATCATAATTGTAATGCTGCCTGTTTTATACTAAGATAGTAGAGTGTAATATATTTTACAGTTGTAATTTTTTAAAGCAAGTTTAGTTATGACTATGAAGTATTTAGTGTAACAATACATGTTTCTTTAGAACTCCTGTCGCATTTGTTATTTTCCATATTCCACATATCATTTAATATTAGCATAACAATATTGTAATTACGTACTTTTAAGCTAAGCGTTTAATTAACGTAATTTTTATTGTTTAGTTAGAGTATGCATTAAAATTATTTACTTATTTATTTAATTGATATTTCTGTGCACTGAAGTAATTATTTTAACATGATCCATGCAACAAAATGATACTGGATTAAGAAAGTAGGAACTATGTGTTCTTAATACTTATATTTGTCATTTACTAAATATTTAACATAAATTTCTTGTGTGAGAACTATTTTTTCTCCTGTTGTTATATTAGTATTTAGTTTAACTCATTATTTGCATGCTCTTCAGATTTTAATTAAAGAGTGACTCAAGTTTGTAATTCACAATGGTATTTCGTTTTTAAAGGGAGATTATTTACTTATTAATTTATTTTTTAAAAATTATTCAGCTTGTTCAGTAATAAAGCACTGCAGATTTTAACATTATGGCTTATGATTTTGTACAGTGATTATAAATTAAAAAAATTATTGAAATAAAAATTTTGCCAAAAGATTATTTCAAATCTTTGAAGATTTGAATTTCTCTGCTTTTCACATTAATTGTTGATGATCTGATGAGATTTCCTGAAATGCATATGACTGCTTACAATTTTGCTTGTAAGTATGTATAATAGCTTTGCTATTAATTTTTATTGTTCCCTGTCTTAAATATTTTGACCAGTTACTAATGTTAATGCCATCCACCTCACCTTCATTATGAAAATTAAAAGTCTCAGCTATGCAATGAAAATTATGAAAATAAATTAGGTAGTCTTTTTAAATGAGATGTCTTGTCTCTTATATTTTGTGCTTTAAACATCACAAAATGTGAATAAATTTATTATTACAAATGCAGAAATTTTTTATCATATCAGAAAGCTCAAATTAGTTGAAAAGCATAGGATACTGAGTAACATGTTACCTTACCAACTAGCTTTATGCAGTAAAAGATTACTTTTGATCTAAGCCTTGAATTCATGTATTTTTAGGTGAAAATTTTTTGCATATCACATGTACTTTAGTCGTGAGAATCTTTTGAGTAGTAGAATTATCTTTCAGATAATCTTGTGTTTGTATTTTTAATGTTATCTACATTTAGCTTTGATAAAGTGTTCCAATTCATATCATTCGATTGCAGACTTTTCTTCCCCCTCCATGTTTATGACCTAGATAAGAAAATATTATAATACTCTGTCATACTTCCTATCTAAGCATTCAAGGTTTTTAACATATTCATAATATTGAAACAATAGCAGAATTTTCTGTATTGTTTCTTTAGTTATATTTTAATTTATTTGCTTTTGTTTTAGTTGATAAGACAGATTATTTTGGAGAATAATTTCTACTTCGTCGATACCAGAATCACACGACTCAACAAACTTGAAGCTGAGAAGTTTTATGTTGAGCACAAAAGTAATTTATGTTGTATATTATTTGTTTACAAAAATATCAAAACTAATTCTCATATAAATAACATATATGTATGTGTATAAGTATCTTTCCATCTACTTTATTTGTGCTTCATTTTTTAAAGTTCTTAATTGCATTTTTGAAGTACTTTATCTTAGTGTATATCAATTTATTTTTCAGATAAATTTTTCTTCAATCGACTTGTGACATTTATGTCAAGGTAAGTCTTATTTAGTGTTTTTCTTTTCCTTTAATTATTTTTAATATCATTCTCAAAATTTGCCTTGTTTGAATTTTAAATCTTTTCACCTTTTATCTTCAATGAATTTTTCTTTATTTTGCACTTGTGGTGGATTTACTAAGTCTAAAATTACTGGAATAAAAATTACTTCTGAATTTTCAGGTTCAAATAAGGGAAAAAAAATCAGAAAATTATTGTTGGTAATATGTAATTAGAGTTCCAGCCTTTTTTTTGGAAAGGACAGTCCTTTAATCAGCTTTGTTGTCCTTGACCTTTTTTGAGTTTCGAAAAAATGCCAAATTACTTTTATTTCAAAATTAAAAATTTCTTAAGTTTTCTTTTTTCAGGCCACTGATTGTTCTGAACAATTATTCATACTGTTTCTAGTTAAGGATAATTCTATAGAAATCATACCGATTAAATATATTTATTGTTTTCATGACATTTAACTCCCTACGTATAGCTCCCATGATTTGAGTGGGATTATGAAGTTGCTACACTTCTACAGTTCACGTGAAAATCGCAAAAGAAGATTTTTTCCTTGATTCATTTCAATATGAATATGTTTTACTCAGAGAAAGATAAAAATAGAAAGAAAATATATGAAGAGCATTAGGTATGAAGAGTGTCAAGTTGGATTATATTTGCAGCCATACTTTAGATATTATCAACATAAAAACTTTGCATAATAATGAGTGAGTAAAAATAACAGGGCTAGCTTTATTTCTAAGGTCAATATACACAATTTGTAATATTTACAAATAACTAAAAATGCTTTGTCATTTTAAATATTTCTCTTTTTGATATTTATGTAATTTAGTATAAAGAAAGACCAATTTTTATTTTTTTAAAATTTTATATTTTCTGTTTTACTACAAAATTTCTGTAAAATTTTAAAGTTTTTAATTTAATCAGCTTTGTTGTCCTTGACAAAAATAATTTTCAAAACATTTCTGTAAAATTTTGCAGTAAAACAGAAAATAAAATTGATCTAAAAATAAATGTGTTGTGTTAAAAAATTGTGTTAAAAATTAAATTGATCTAAAAACAAATATATGTTCATGTCTTGCAAATTATGCCTGCTAAAATCACATGTGTCATATTGTACATAATTTGAAACTACAAGAAACAATTAAAATTCTAGCGTTATATGAAATTGTTGATAAAGATACGAATAGTAATAAATGTAGATGAGGAATATATATATATGCCATAATTTCAAAGCACAGTCTCATGATGGAACTCTCAACAGCGTTCAGTTTCTGTCATGGCTGTGGTTAAGGCATATAGATGAAGGCAACAGACTGAATTTCGACAAACTACCAGTCTTTATTTTCACACATATCCAAATTACTTGGGCTGACACTTATTCAGTCATAATTAAATATGATAAATTTCTATGTATATTGGTTTTTAACAAGAAATGACATAGTTAAGCAAAGGTAAAGCGACACGATGTTGACAGAGCAGCAATGAGGAAAGAGAAGAATGATGTAGTTTATTGTGCCAAGGGTATTTATACCAAGTCTGAGGTATTAGAGCTAATCTGTGATGATTAATATTAGTTTTAGTTGCCCTTTTCCAGTAGCATTATATAACATAGAGAGATCTCAAATTTTGGAGAACGGATGAATTTAGGGGGAGAGCACTAAATCTAGAATCGTTAATTTTGAGGTCTGCAATTATTTTTAAAGCAGCTATCATATTTTCTTAAATCTTATATATATATATATGTAATAGTTTCTATAGTAGAACGCAGGTGGTTGGATCCACAATGAACAGCTAGAATTTTGTTGCCGATCCACAAGGAATAATAAATTTGGCAGTCAAAGTATATTTAATTTAACTTTTATTTCAGTGAACATGTTGTGGCCACAACCAAGTTGGCACATTTATTGTGCCTATTCCAAAAAGCTTACATTTTTGATAGATTTGCAGTAAAAAAGAGGAGCAGACAGACAACATTCCAGCTAAGCTAAAAGGGTGAAAGCAAAATAAATATACTTGAAAGCAAGTGCATTATGTTCAGAGTGAAATCTATCATCAGAATTATATGACACAGATTTTTCTCGAAATGAAGCAGTGCAAATAGAGGTTACTATTTTTAGAATACAGAAGGGGATTAATTTCCTCTTCTAATTTAATCTTTTACATATTCTTTATTTTCTTACATATAAATTATCCTGTATTTTAGAACGAGAGAGTATGAAAATTAAGTTATTCTGTCAACAAAGGAGTATGTAAGTTAACTAGTGACTCTGTTATGCACAATATGCTTTTTGCGAGTATTAATACAGTGGAGTCTTTCTTGACAGGAATGGCATACAGTTCTCATTATCAGTCATTTGCATCATTTCAAGAATATAATGCTTCATAGAGGTAATAATTTATATGAGAGCAGAAAGTGCAGTTCATCCCCATTGTGTATGAGTAATGCTGAAAACTGATTTAATGGGCGCTGAGGTGGCCACCACAAAACCCAAAATTTTCTGTATTTAAACCCGATTGGCAACTTACAAGACTCTATGAAAACCTCATAATGCATTCTAGCAGCTATATATTAGAACCACTTTAATATGCAGCTATGGCTGCATATTAAAGTGGTTCTAATATTTTACCATTTCTTTTTATTTCCCTAATATTTATAAATAAATTATTATAATCAAAAGTCCTGTCAGAAATTAAATTTGATGAAGTTTCCTGGAGTCGTTTTAATCTACATGTTGCTGAGTAAGTTAAAATTTTTTTTTATTAAAAAACATTCTATAATATTCTAATTGTTGTGATAACTATTCTGAAAACTAATGCTTTCTGGTTTAAAAAAGTAATTAAAAAAATTTTTTTCAGTGGTTTAATGTCTGTACATATTTTGGGAAGAGAAAATTCTATTAAAGCTTGGCGAGAGCTTATGGGTCCAACACATGTTTATAAGTAAGTTGTTTTGTACATTAGTGTAGATGCATTTTCTCAAAACTATAACATAAAGTTAAATGTTTTGTTTCCATTTAGGGCACAATATGAAGCACCTAACTCACTGAGAGCTCGTTTTGGGCTTACTGATACTAGGAATGCTACTCATGGTTCAGGTAATTGATTTATTTGTGAAAAACTTCACTTGAAATAAATATGTTGATAAAAGATGTGTTGTTGAGATGATGTGAAGTACCAATATTCAATCTGTTTACTTCAGCTGAAATGTTAATTAATAAAGCTTTGGATAACTATTATATGGTTGTAAATCCTACACTGTATTTTGCATGGACTTGTGGATGATATTCATTTGGGTCTGGTAAATAATGCATCTACTAAAGATGAATGATGCTATGAAACTGAATTGCTTTCAATTTTCTAAAAGTGTTTATAAAATCAAAACATATAACTATTGCTCAAGTTTTTAAATTCTGTTACATGTAATAAGTAAACTTTCAATATTTTTAGAAATATGCTGTATTTACTCGCATATTTCCCGACTTTTCCTACTAATTTTACCTCTTGAAAACCAAGACGGGGAAAATGTGTGGTTTATATTCTTTCTAAAGAGGTGGCATAAATTATAACATATTACATTTAAAATGCACGTATAAAAAACACACTGGTATTATTATATTTATGCATTTCGAAAGATTTATTTCAATAATATTCTTTTTATTTACACAAAATAATTTTCTATTTGTGCGTATATTTTACTTTTTTACCATAATAAAGATGGGATTTATTGCTTTTGAGATTATTTTCAGTAAGAAATAAAGTACCAACACAGTGGATTTACTGTACAATTAAAGGGATATGTTGCTGTTCATGTAAATTTTATTTATTTATAGGCATAAGTTGGCAGCTATGTAATTTATTTAATTTTTCTTTAAAATTTTCAGTTTTGTAGGAAATTTTAATTTCTGAAGGCTTAAGATCAAAACTCTTATGTTTTATAAATGTTTCTAGATGTTATGTACTGATTATGTATTCTAGATGTTATGTATTCTAGATATTATGTAGTCATGTACTAGCATCTATTTAAAATGTCACTTAATCAACACTTTTTGAAAAAGTATGATGACAGATGATTGTTTCATATATTTAAATATCAGGAACATGTATTAATTTAGAAGTCAAATAGCAAAAATCAGCATTATATTTGCAAATTTTCACAGGACTAGTTTTGATGGTTTTACCGAACCATCAACCTCAACTGCCAAAGTGCAAATGAATGAGATGATATATACTGATTAGATAAGATAGTGATTTTAAACTTATATAATCATTATATGTTATCTCATTCATTTGCATTTTAGCAGCTGAGGATGATGGTTCGGTAAAACCATCGAAACTAGTCCTGTGAAAATTTGCAAATATAATGCTGTTTTTTGTTGTTTGACTTCTAAATTAATACTTGTTCGGTGTGTTATTTTATCATAATCAGAAACATGTAATAGCAATTTCTAAAACAGTTTAACAGTGTTAGTATAATAATTGCTTTATAATATATTTGTATTAATTTTTGATGCATAAATGGACTTCTTATGCCATTTCTTTAGAGATAAGGAAAGCATATTATCATTATGTGCTGTGAAAAATATGTTTTAATATTAGCCTCTTTCTTTTTTAAGTTATAATGCCCCCCCCCCCAAAAAAAATTAAACTGTATTGCTTAATCTTGAATGACTAGTAGCATCTAAAGCTATTTCTTAACATAAATTTTATTTATTTTGTATTTCTTATGAAAAAGAACATTAAAAAAAAAAAAAAAGATTAAGTTTGATGTTAGCATATCATTTTACAATATTTATATTTTTTAGATTATGAGCATTTAAATAATTTATTTATAGAATTTTTAATTACATATGTTGTCTTAAATACTGTTTAAAAATATTTAAAATATAAATCTGTAAATTACTCTTACAAAACTAAACATTTTTATAGTTAATCAATATTTAGGAATGGAAATTTTTTTTTATAATATGAAGTAACTTTATGCATGTAATAAACTAAAATCTGTTACATTCCTATTATTTTCATTATTTAACCCATTCTAATATTTTTTATTTAATTTTCACATTGTTTACATTTTGAAGTGAAAAATGTCAAAATTTCTTTTTAAATATTTTCCAATTCAGATTCTCCTGATACTGCAAGACGAGAAATATCATTCTTTTTCCCAGATTTCAACATGGATGATTTTTACAAGTATCATGAAGAAGCTTTTCGTAATAATGAAGTGGTTTTTGATCCTGAAAGATGGGTTCATAAGATTAAAGATGCTAAAGCTCAGAAAATATAAAATAATATGTTCACTTATTTCTTTAAATGATAGTCAGATTTTTAATATTTTCATTTCAGCTTTTAATTTCTTCTCAAGTGTTAGATTATTGTAGGACTTGGCAACTTTTATTTTAGCTAAAGAAGATGGTTTTAAAATGTTCATGTTTGTTAACTGTAAATTAGTATTGGTAATTAATGCTTGGTGTACAAGAAAGTATGCATTGGAATATAAAAAAACAAGGCCTGTTTCTTAATTAGATTCTTAAGTGCTTGAAAATAAAAATATGAATTCAGAAAAATGTCTTAATATACTCAAAAATTAGCTGTGTAAGGCATTTCTACATGCAAATGCCCTTACGTCACAAATGTGTACTGTATAACACTGAGCCAGCCATCAGGTGACAGATCAGAAACTAAACTGTCATATTCTAACTGCTTTGCAAACTACTTCAATAATATTGCCATTCATCAGAGATTTTTTTCCTAGTGTTCTATATCATGGATATCTCTTTTTATATCTTGAAACATTTAACCTCATTTATGAATAGCATTATCACGTCTATTTGATAGATATCACACTATCTGCAATGAATTTTAACTGCATTCACCCCTTCAGTTAGAATAAATTAATTACAAAGCAATTATAGCACTTGGCAGGAGTGCCAGTTTTATATTCATATGCCTGCTACTTAAATGTAATAAATTAAATCAAAAATTGCTGGGCTCATAATATTTCATAGTATGTATCTAACTTTTGTATATATTACACTTCTTTTCATTCTTTTTTTTATTTTTCATGTCTTTTGGAATTTAATTAAAAAACAGCCTTTACATTTACCTTGGATTGACATGGAAACAAAGCTATTCACTTCCGTCCTAGAAATGAATTAAAAAAAATCATTACTAAGTTAAAAATTTATTATTTATCATATTTTTTCTAAAAGTGTTTTTCTGCATTTCCTTTATATATAAAATAATTTTAAAAGTGAGACTTTTTACTACCTGTTTAACTATTAAGGACTTCCATCTAAATCCTTATGCACATTTTTAAGTTTTTGATTTATGTGTAGTTGTGCTTTTAGAATTGCATTGTAAATTTAGTTTTATTATATTCTGTTTGTGTCTTTTGCTTTTTCAAAAAATTTTTACTATTAAGTTTTTTATTTGTAGTAAAAGATCTGAAAAAGTACTGAGTTGTATATGTAAATGATATGTATATTTGATTTTGGTTTATCTCAAATCACAAGAAAATCTATTATGGCTTTATATTTTGGTTTCTTTCCTATTTCTTAAAATAGGGTTATACATAAAGTGAAATTTATTTTTAATTTTAAAACCCCAATGAAAGGTTCAGTCAAACTTTCATTTGTGCTAAAATATTTGCCCTGTAACTGATAGTTTGTAAAGAGTTGTATATAATGTTATGGAGAATGTATTTGTAGGATTAAACAGAAGAAGTTCCTATTTGTATACTAGTTTTATGATTTCCAAAACATGTGTGTTTTCATTTTTATTTATTATTTTTATTTCAATATATATATATATGTATGTATGTGTATGAGCTTCTTTGATTTGCTAGTTTGACTTATTTTTAGTATCTGCATTCATAAGTATTTCAGTCTCTGATGATGTACTATATTTGATTTTATTTTTCATTCATGTTGAGTATATTTAATTCATTTTCATATGACACTTTGTTGACAAGTTTATGTAGGTACTTAATGTTTGAAAATAAAATTTTTGCTTCATTATCTTTATTATTTTAATATATGAAATAAAGGATCATATATTTATGTTTACTAAAGCTGAATTATTTGCTGACTCAAAACATATAATTTACAAGGAAATGTATTTATTTGCAAATTCCCTCCCCTTTCTTACTGATTTTATTGCATGAAAGTCGAGAGGGAGGAAAATACACTGTGTATATTATTTTGTATTTCAAAGGGCGTATCAATTTCAATAACATTCTTCTTACTTACACAAAATACTTTTCAATTTATGCATATGCTTTACACTGCTACCATAAATCAGGTATTTCTAAATCACATGCTGAAAAAACAAGTGGAAAAATTACAAGTAACTACAGTAATTAGCCAATGCATTTGTTCTTGCATCTGCAGATTTTCTTACTGTCGAATATCGATAGGATGATCTGGATTTGCTTTAGTTCATGCAAGTAGATAGGCCTTCAAGGAGAATTGCATTATCATGGGGGTGGTGTAGCCAAGAAAAAATTTTATGATAAAACAAGTTTTTAAATACTTCCTTGTTAATAACTTGAGATTTGTTAAAGTTATTTATTCTGCAGTAGAAAATTGTTTACTATTTTGTCGAATGCTAGACATTTTAGCTCATATACTAGTTAAATCTATTTAATACTAATTAATGATATTTCTGTTATTTTGTAATAAATACATTAAAAAAATTTTATGTCATTGTTTTTAACCATAAATGGTTGATCACATCCGTATAAAATATTCTGAGATGAACCAGTCTATTTTATTTGATGAAGCAGATTTGAAATGACAACCAGAAGCCGAGAACTGGTAGCTACATTGTTAGAGAGAAAGTGTGGGATGACAGTGATATTCTTGTCAAAATATATTCAAAACTTCTCCTTTGAAGACGTAGAAGGGCTTTTAATTTGAAAGCTTTCATTTGCATTAATCATGAACTTCGATTAGTGAAAAGCCATTGGTGTTAAATGATTTCTGGAGGAGGATAAAGGTTATTTTCACACAGGTAGCTTCTACATTTGCACAGTATGTAGGCATCCACAGATTAAAAATAAATGAGTCTTGTTTCTTAAAATTACTGTATATTCAAGGAGATGTATCTTTATGCATTCAGAGTTGTAAACTAATGTATGTAAGGAAGATTTTGAATTTCAGAGCATTGCTGCCTATTGAAAGAAGATGTATGAAGTGAAATTGTGTTTATTGGTGTGATTTCTTAAAAGCTGGCTTAGAATTTCCATCATGTGAATAAAAGTTCCCAGATGATTTATAGAAGGTATACTTTAAAGCATTTGTTACAGATACTGCCAAATTCTTTAGGATGTCTGCTGTGTAGAATTTGTTTTCTTTTTAATAAGATATGATTTCTTACCTATTTTCCTTCTGGTTTTATTCTTTATATATGATGATGTGATCTTGCAAATTTATAGCTTATCCCCCTTTTATCATACCAAAATCATAAAAATTCTAATTAAATTGAATTAAAAGCTTAATTTAAAAATTAATTAAAATTCAGTTGAATTAATTAAAAACTACAGAATTAATTAGTTTAGAGAAAGACCAATTTTCTTTCAAGAATCTGATAGTTAAAGAATTGTGTGTCATGCACATAGGTACTTAATGAGCACAAGAGGTAATTTGTTAGAACATTAACAGAATAAGATGGATTGGACAAAGCTGCGACAAAGTTGTATAGATGTTCTTTGGTTTTGTTCGGAAACCAAACAACATCTATACAACCTTGTATAGAGGGGGGGGGAGAATTCCGAATGCAATGGTGCCTCTTTCGCATGAGTAGAGGCATCCTGCTACAACAAGGTCCCTTTATTAATTATTCTGGTTTCGCTCTTGAAGGTCACGCCAAGGGTTCCAGGGTTAAAAGAAATCTTTCACCGGGATCGGAATATGGGCATCTTTGTTATGTACCAGTGGAAAATTTCCTCCTTCCCCAGATTCAGCGGAGGTAACGACACTGTGTGTTAGTAAAGTTTTGGCAACGAGAAAGGAAGGTGGTTTGTTGAAAGCTGCTAGGTCCTTCCTGCTCGGGCTATGGCCATTTTGGCCTGCTAGAACTATGACTCCTCGTGTATGCTGTTGATCGCACACATTCTTGCTTAACAATTTTCTGAAATTATGTGACTGAATTTATCTAAGTCCCACATCTTCAAACTGCACCTGTTAAAGTTTTTTTTTTTATTTTATTAAAATTTATGTTATTTGTTAGAAAAGTTTATTTCAACCCAGTATGACAACCGGGGTTTTGTGTAGTGGATTTGGCCACTACACTACAAAGCCTTCCTGGTAGATTGCTATATTTTTATGCAGTTCTTGTGTCCTGTGAGAAGTTGCTCTTTGCCTTGATTAGAGATATGGTCCATTAGAAGGAAGTTCAGATTCATTGATGCAAGTTGTTGTTGCATAATTTGGTGTATGTCTGATATTTTGGAACACTCTACACGGAGGTAATGATTTTGCAGTCTAATGGCTAGCTCATAATACACTATATCAGGCACTTTCTAAACAAACAGCTAGCCGAAACAACTCTGGCGATAAGAGGCACACCAGTAGGCAAGTGACTAACTAAGACTGCTGAGTGCTGGTAGTTTGAAATTTCGGCAAACAAGTGGCTGCATGGTGTTTTCTTGACTTTTCCCAAGTGCAATACGGATACAAGACAATTTTGTTTTGAGAAAGTAGTGATTTGCCATATTCAACTAATCTCCTTGGCTGCAGGAGATTCTCCTCTTGATAACTACTGATAACTTGGGACTTGTATAAATTTATTTTCAGTTTTCATTTGTCTTATCTATTTATTTTCCCCCTTTATTTCTTTATCTTTCCTTATTATTTCTTTTATGGTGATAATTACATTCAATTACTTTTGAATTAAGAGTTGAAGACAGTGAAGGGCTGATGCAATTAGCATATAAAAATGACATTATCAGTTACAGATGGTTGATCCAGAGCTTAAATGATTTTCAAGTTTTTTTATCTTTTTCACAAAAGCACTACTTTGGTAGTTGGAATTCATACTGAATATATACCTTCAGTAGACATGCTGATTATGTATATTCATATTATAACTTAGTTATGATTTAAAAAGCAAATATTGTTCAGATTTTTGCTTCAGTAAACTCATTGTTCTAAAGCATTTTTTCAGTAATTTATCTCCCATACTGAGGTATTAGAATGATGAAAAGTTTTGCATGAATTATTAAACTTTTGCTGGTGTATTGATGATTTATGATTACATAAAATTTTCAAAGAAAGGAAATTATTACTTTGATAAATCAAGAAAGATAAATCAGGAAATGTTATAGATGATAGACGGGGATTTATACGGCAGAAGTTCTAAAGCAATAAAAGAGTGGATGACAAAAGGAATGCATTTTATAGCACTAATGCACGTTTCTTTCTAATTTTTAAAGTAGAAAGTTTCCCCTTTATTTATAGCAAAAGATTAGAATATATCTGTTATGTAATAGCTTCTTTAAAAGAAGATCGTTTCAAGTTTATTTTTTTAACGTTAATTAGATTATGTTATTCCTATTTGTTTTATTTTTGAGACAGATACACTTTCCTGCTCATTTTTGCTTTTAATCTGCCGATAAAATAGACAAGTGTTTAATTTTCTAGTGGAATAAAAATTAATATTTATTTAGTTCCTTGCTTTCTAAACTTTCCTGTTTCATTTATAAATTAGTTTCATCTGAATCACCGTCATTTACGTAATTTTCTTTTCAGAACTCCTTTTAACATAAGGTAATTATAAAACTTTGAGGACAGTTAATACATGAGTGAAATTTTAAGATTTTGTGATTGACAATGAAACTATTAATTTTTACTTCGTTAACATTTTTTTTTATTATGATAGATACAATTGCAGTGGTTCTAGCAAAAATCCATTCGGCGACCACGCTGTCTTCGATTGATACGGCAAACGTTTTGTGGCGGGAAAATGTTGATGTGTAGTAGAGAACAAAGTTCAAGAAACAGAGAAGGAAACGGCTGTGGTAATCATTTCGCTTAGAACACCAGCCTTGAGCTAAACTGAACAACCTTACGGGGCCTCTCATGGCTGCGGTTTAAGTGCACTGATAAGTTGAGGAACATTTGTTTAGTTGGCAGCTGGATTTCGTTGCGTATATTGCTTTCATCGGTTTCTCTTAGTATTTTCTGAGGAGGGAGGGGGAAGTAGAGTGAATAAATTATAGAATTAACTTTTGATTATCTGATGGTGGATTAATCGAGCCTTTTTTTTTTTTTTTTTTTTTTTTTTTTTTAAGGAAGTTTGTTTACTGTGGAATGATGCAAAAACTACTATTAGAATAAACAAAATTTCTATTGGAAATGGTAAAAAAAAAATGCTTAGGATAAAAGCAGCGAAATCAGATGATTTCACGATATTTTAAAATTTTTTTATCCGCAAAGGTATATTATTTAATTGTGCGTAATCTCGACTATATAAACGTTGTTAAATCATCCGCTAAAAAATAAGTTTATAAAGTTTTGACTTGATTTGGTAGCATAAATATCAGATTAATATAAAAGTTTTGACTTGATTTGGTAGCATAAATATCAAATTCGTACTAGAAGTTACGCGAATTATCTCTGTGTTTGGACAGAACTACAGAGTCTCGAGAAGGTTTAACAAACCTTTTTATTTAATTAGAACCAAGAACATAAATGACTCTTCTCACGCTCGTGGTGTTGTAACTTAACAGTAAACTGAAAATTCAAATTAAAACTAAGACTAATAGCCGAAGGCTACACAATTGTTTCAACGCGAAGTTCCCTCAAACTTCTCACCAGCTTAACAATGTAACTGTCGGCAACTATAATGCAAAGCCGATTAACCTTTTGAGGCCGGGGCTTTGGTAGCAGTAAAAGCTACCAAATGACGGGGAATCTTGAACCGAATGCTTTCTCGCTTTGAGAAATCACCTCCTATTTGCAACAAAGATTCTTGTGTGTATTTTAGTGGATTCTCAGAGAGGTGCATCTATGTCGCAAAAGG